GAAAGGATTACAAATTCAAGGCCAATCTGGGCAATTTAGTAAGATTCTGTTTCAAAAGAAAGAAAAAGGGCTGGGAATATAGCCCAGTAGCAGAGTGCTTGCCAAGTATGCACCAAAGCCCTGGGTTCAATCTTCAATATTGAAAACAATTGTTTCTTAGTTTTTTTAAAAATGAAAATTTTGGGAACTGGGAAGATAACTCGTTAACTCTTGTTGCTAACATTTATTTACAGGTTTTCTCTTTTCAATAACATTCTGACATTTCATAACTTAATTAAATTTAATTCATCTGTCATTGGACACTTAAGTACTTCCAACTTCTTGCTTGATGAACAATATTGCAGTAGACAAGTTTCTATGTATATCTAATTCCTTTGGTTCTTCAGAATACATTTCTAGATGTGAATTTTCTTTGTCATGCACTCCATTAGCAAGTAACGAGATTCCTGTTATTCCACATCCTCACCAGTATTTAGTATTGTCAGTATTTTGAATTTGGGCCATTCTAATAGGTTTGTAATGGTTTTTGTTGTTTCCATTTACAATTGCATAATGATCTATGATAGTGAACAATTTTTCATATACCCCTTCCCATTTGTATATCTTTTTTGGTCTAGCGTCTGGTTGGGTTGCCTTTTTTTTTTTGTACTGGAGATAGAACTCATAACCTCATGCTTGCCAGGCAGGTGCTTATGCCACTGAACTAAATCCCCGGCCAGGCCCTTTTTGCTCATTTTTAAGTTGGCTTGTTTGTTTTCTTATTGTTGAGTTTTAAGTGTTTTTTTTTTTAGTGTTTGAAGTATTAGGGTTGCATTCAGAACTTTTGCACTAACCTACACCCCTACATCTTTTAAATTACTTAATTACTTTATTTATTTATTTACTTATTTATCTTTGCATTTATGCAATACTGAGAATTGGACACAAATCTTTGCCCTGAGTAACATCTCCAGCCCCTTTTACTTTTTTTTTTTTGTTTGTTTTTAACTTTGAGACAAGATCTCATCAATTGCTCAGTTGCTCAGGCCAGGCTCAAATTTGTAATCCTCCTTGGTCATCCTCCCAAAATAATTTTTAAAACTTAGAGTCTTGGGGTTGGGGATTTAGCTCAGTGGCGTAAGTGCCTGCGTTGCAAGCAGGCAGTCGTGAGTTCGATCCCTGGTACCGAAAAAAAACAAAAAGACAAAAAAAAAAAAGAACAAAAAAAACCAACTTAGAGTCTTGCTAAGTTAAAAAATTATCTGGGTTAGGGTTTAATTTAGTATCCTTCTGCCTCAACCTCCCAGAGTGCTGGGATTAGAGATGTGTGCTACCACATCTAGCTCCTAAGTAGTCTTTGTATATATTGAATAGTAGTCCTTTATCAAGAGTGTCTTTGACAAATATTTTCTCCCAATCTGTGGCTCGTTTACCTATTTTCTTAATAAAAGTAACTTTAAGGAGTATAAGTATTAACATTTATGTATATCCACTTAGACTGAAAAACTTTTTAAAGATGGTTTAAATGCCTAACTAGAAGTTTGTGATATTTAATAATGATCAAGTTGAAGGTGTCACTGGGGTGTACCAGATAATATTTAATAGTAATAAGTGTTGTCTAGCACACAGAGATTCCTTTCGAAACCCTGCCCCCCTAGCCGGTACTATAGCTCATTGACACAGCATCTGCCTGGCAAGTATGAGATTGTGAGTTTGATCCCCAGTACCAAAAACTAAATAAATAAACCTTGCCTCTACAAAAAAATCAATATTCATCTATTTATGTTTGCATTAATGTATTTCTCTTAAGGTAAAAGTACTATGTTGCTTCTATAATTTAGTATAATCTTACTATATTTTGATTTTTTTTTTTTTTTGTCTTTTTTCTTTTTATCGGTACCCGGGATTGAACTCACGACTGCCTGCTTGCAAGGCAGGAGCTTATGCCGCTGAGCTAAATCCCCAGCCCCTATATTTTGATTTTTAAATCATGCATCAATGTGGGTTAGAGAAATAAACTTAGTTTTAAAGAGTAAAATAATACCTTCCCAAATCCACCTAAATTGTTTAAATAGTGTGCTAGCCCCACTAGATGAAAGGGAGAGACACTGTTTTGAAAACATGCAGTACGAATGAGCTGGACATGGAGGTGCACCCCTATAATCCCAGTATTTGGGAGGTTGAGGCAGGAGGATTATTGCAAATTTGAGACCAGCCTGGGCTACAAAGTGAGCTCAAGGGTAGCCTGAACTGTATAACTAAGCCCTCCATCTCAAAAATACAAAAGAAAGAAAGAAAGAAAGAAAGAAAGAAAGAAAGAAAGAAAGAAAGAAAGGCAGTGTACTATTCAGAGTTAATCCCTACAATCACATATGCTATTATATGCAGAAGAATATTTAGATGAAACAATAAATATATACTTAGTATAAAATTTATTTACATGTATAAAAGGTATATGTAACAGGAAACTCATTAAAATACAAAGACAATTAGATTTTTAAAAATGCATTAAAATGAATTGCTCTTTGTAGATAATGAAAGGGTTGATATTAATTTGTACAGGATTATATTGTTAGAAAATTATAAGCTTCTTCAACAATGGTTCTATCACATTTTTCCTTTTTATATTTAAAGTATCACAATCTCTGCACTAAATGCTCTATAAATACCAATGATTTCACAGTTCCAAAGATAAATTCCAGATTCATTCAAATTATAGCTTCTGTTTTGTGCTAAATGATAGCAGACACAACAGACTAGGCTGCTGTTTGGTTGGGTGCAGTTGTCACAGATTCTGAAGCCATTTTTATAGTTAGACTTCTGGGAGTCAACAGAAGTGAATGAGTTCATGGAATATTTCAAGTTATGATTTAGTAAAAAATACACACGTATATTTTATTTTTGTTTACCTAAATATTTCTCACATATGCATGGGAATACACACACACACACACACACACACACACACACACACACACGAGAAGTGCTTATAAATTTCCATCATGGATTTAGACTTAAGAAACAAGATCCCTGGGTTACAATTAGAGCAGTATAATTCTGCAGGTATGAGAAGGGACAAGAAAGGTGTGTTTGTTCAGTCCTTACTAATTTGTTAGCTCCCAGTTATGCCTTAATCTGAGTAAGGTCACTGTAACATTTTAAAGAGGATTAAAATAAGTGTAAAGTGCATGGTTATGAGAACAAATGCTTATAGAAAGTCAAGAGATAACTAATAGCAACTTGTATAAGTAATGTGGGTAGCTTTAAAAACAAGTCACAGGGGCTGGGGATTTAGCTCAGCGGCATAAGCGTCTGCCTTGCAAGCAGGCAGTCCTGAGTTCGATCCCTGGTACCGATAAAAAGGAAAAAAAAAAAAAAAAAAAAAAAACAAGTCACCTTCCCTAGGGCTGGGGATATAGCTCAGGGGCACTGCACCTGCCTGGCAAGCACAAGTTCATGAGTTTCATTCCCAGTATGAAAAGAAAAACCCACTTTTACTAATCAAACCTACATGTTTTTAGATGATTTGTTTTTGACAAGCTACCAGAGACTCTGAGAACCTAAAAGTCTTTAGCAATATTTAATGATTAAGGCTTTGCTTTTATCTGCCTTAATGAAGATCACACTGCCTTAAAAGAGAGCCCCTTACCTGAATGTGTTGGCACATACCTGTAATACCAGCATTCTACAAGGCTGAGGCAGGAGGATTTGAGCCCAGGATGGGTAACTCAACAACTTGGTGAGACTCTTTCTCAAAACACACAAAAAAGGACTGGGCACATGGCTCAGTGTAAAAGGCTCTTGGTTCAATCCCCAATACACAAGGGAAAAAGAGAGACAAGAAAGAAGAGAGATAAGAGAGGGGAGACTCATATATTCACACATGCACCGCAGTGTGATGTATACTTTGTAAACAATTTAGTAGGAATTATAGTTTACAATCATACCCCTGTAAAACTTATAAACAAAACATTTTCTAAATGACCTTAAATAACAGGAAAAGCATAGTACCTGGCAAAATCATACAGAACAGAATTTCCTACTCTATATTTTAGGACTATGTTATTTTTTATCTCCTTAAAATAACACATAAACATACCATACTTATATACAGATATAAAAAGATATAGGCATAGATATAGATAGATAATTTAGTGATGTCAGTGGGGTATGTTCTCATCTGACATAGGTAACAATCAGTTCTATTAATTCATATGTGAGAGGCCTGCTTATTGGTAATATAGTCTTTGCAAATCCTTGCCATTTCAACCTAGTAGCATCTGAAAAAGTAACTTCATAGTAAATAATATTTTTTTTATTTGCCTTTTTCTTTTTATCGGTACAGGGGATCGAACTCACGACCACACACTTGCAAGACAGGCACTTATGCCGCTGAGCTAAATCCCCAGCGCCAGTAAATAATATTTTTTAGAAAAGAAAACTACTGATCCTGCTTGTTATAATGCTTTTTTTGTTTGTTTGTTTTGTCTTTTTCATTTTTATCAGTACCGGGGATCAAACTCACAACTACCTGCTTGCAAGGCAAGTGCTTATGCCACTGAGCTAAATCCCCAGCCCCCTGCTTGTTATAATGAAACAGGATTGACAACAGTTAAGAACTAAAACCTGCAAAATACAGTACATGCTACATTTAAAATATAAAACCAAATGATTCTTAATGGCCACAGATTTATATTGAAATGTGAAATTCTGTGAAGTGTTTCCAAACCCTCAAATTTAATAAAAAGTGGACCTAATATCATAATTTGAGATATTGTGAAAGATTAGAAATTCTTACTTTTTAAATATTCAACACAAGAAATCTATAACCTTTTTCTATACAAAGGATACAAATAGTTCCCTGGCTCTAGTGATTGACAGCAAAGATTCTTGAACCATTAGAATATACAATACAAAAAAAGTAAGTTCTTTTTTCACTTTATGGCTAGAGCCAAGGTTTCTTATTAAGATATAAGGATGAAGTTTGGTCCAAGATGTAAATGAAACTATGATACCATTCATATGCTTATTCTTCCTTTATTCCTTGAAGTTTGTCACAAAGAGCTGAATAGCCAGTGTCTTTTTTGGTTTAGAAATAAACCATTTGAATAACATAAATATCTTACATTGAGATGACCGGGTGAGCTTAGTGAGATGGGAGTGACATAGACTTTTTAAATACCCTAAACCCTTTTGCCAGCCCAGGATAAGGTGGTGGTGGTGAAATGCTGCGTTTTCTGCTCAGTTCCATTGCCTGCTCATAAGAAGGTAATCCAGCATCCTCCAAAGATGGCGCCAATGGAGCCGAGGTAGCTTCCTCAGGTCTTCTGAGATTGATGGAAAAGCTGCCATTTCTTACATAGGCGACTGAACCCCTAAACACAGAGACAGTATTTAGGTGTAACAAAGGCAACATTTTGGTTTAAAAATTCTACTATTTATGAATACAATTCATTAATAAAGAAAAACAGCTTTATTTTGCCCACACACTGCAAAAGTCTTGTTATTCTAGAAAGGCCAACAGTTTTGTAGTCAGACAGGGGTTTGAAATTTGACTCTTGTCATTTTATGACTAATATTACCTGACTCAATTTCCTCTCTCTAAAATGGGGATAATAGAGCCAGGTATTTAGCTCAGTGGCGTAAGTGCCTGCCTGGCAAGCACAAGGTCATAAGTTCGATACCTGGTACCAAATAAATACATTTCAATTTTTTTTTTTTTGTGCCTGAGATAGAACTCACAATCTTGCATTTGCCAAGTAGGATTTAGGCTGCTAAGCTAAACCCCCAGCCCTAAATACATAAAATAACATAACATAAAATAAATTAAAATAAAATAAATAAGATGAGGATAACAATAGCTACCTCAATAGAGTTGTCCCGGGTAGACTGAATATGATGCTGCATACAAGGCTTCAGATAACTGATCTAGCACACAACATAATAAGGACTCAAAATGTGTGAATTCCCTTTTCTCCAGCTTCTCAATTAAAATTTTCTCAAAGTGTTGTGTGAAACCAAATGTAGGCTTTGTTGAAGGTGGCATAACTCCAAGCCAAGAAAGTAGGTACCACAGAGATAATCACAATGGCCTTTCCCTGTCCTCTGTCCCTTCTGGCAGTCCTGCCATCTGGTCCAACGTTCCTGAGCTGTATTTTCATTAAATCTCTCTCCTCCTCAAATTCTAACTGCAGCCTGCTCTTCACTGAGTCAGTTCTAACTCCTGAGCCTCCTTCTTGAAGCCTCCCTTATTCTGGCCTTGCTGTATTGCTCTCTGCTCTTGTTCAGGTAGTTTCTTTATCTTCTGCTCTGTGTGCAGTGAACTCTCTGGCCCTTCTTTGTGCTTTCACTGGCATTGTTCTTGGAACATTGTCTTTTCCACTGATCTAAACTTAACAACAACAGTTACAAAAATATGCTTAGTTTAGGGCTGTGACTGCAGTTTGGTGGTAGAGTGGTTGCTTAGCATGGGCAAGGCACCCAGTTTAATTTCCAGTACTGAAAAAAAGTGGCAATGTTGGGCAAAGGAGGAGTATGAACTAACTATATATACAGCATTAAAATATATATATGTGATTATACTGGGCCAACATTAAGAGTGGTTAATCTTGCTTTTAAAAGAAGAGATACTGAGAGTTCTAAATTTTACAATAAAAGATAGTGTTCAGTGGTAGAGGACTTGCCTAGTATGCACAAGCCTTGGATTCATTTCTTAGTGAAAGAGAGAGAGAGAGAGAGAGAGAGAGAGAGAGAGAGAGAGAGACAGAATATTCATGTCCCAACAGTGTCATAAAACCTTGACAGCAATAGAAGTTGAAATGCAAGTTGTTTTTTTTCTCATTTGTGAATTAAAATCTATAATTAATTAACTATGTGGGAGATCAAACTCTATTAGACAAGCAATCTACCACTGTGCTACACTCTCCAACCCCAAACTATAATTTGAACACCAGTAAATGGATCTTTTCAGACTGTAGTTGGCTGTCTACAAAATATCAATGCATAAATTGACCTCCTACAGATATGGCTAATGAGATAATTAAAATTCATAGTATGACCAACCTGTGATCACTGGTTGTAACATTCTCCCCATTTGAGTTTACGGACTCAAAATGCCACCAACTTTTCCAAACTATGTCAGTCAATTTGTCCTTTAGGAATTGCTGGGTCACACAGAATTCTATATTTAATTTTTTGAAGAATTGTCAAACTATTTTTTCACAACAGCTGTATCAGTCTGCATTCCCACCATCAATATATGTATGAGTTTGAATTTCTCCAAATCATCACCAATATTTGATACTTATAAAAGTTATTATTGTGCTACTCTAGTAGATATGAAGTGGTATCTCATTGTGGTTCTGTTTTGATGTGTGTTTCCCTAATGATTAACAATGTGGGGTATTTTTTCAATTAATTGTTGGCCTTTTGCAGAAATGAAAACTCAAGTCCTTTATCTTTTCTAAAACAAGGTCATCTTTTTGTTATTTTATTGTTTTTTGGAAAATTAATTAAGTTCATTGGTACATTATTTTATTTCTTTTTTGAGCTGCCTATTCATGCCAGTTTATTCTGTCATATCCGGATTTCCTTTTCTTCTTCCCAATCATGTTCTTCTAACAACCCTTAGTTCTTGGTATCGGGCACAAGTACCTAGTTCTTGGTATCTATAGCTTCTATTTCCTTAAAAACAAGTCCAGGCTCGTGATCTTGCTCCTGAAGCCTCACCCACCCTGGTATCCTCAGTGACTCCTTTGTCCTCCAGCTTCTCCCCGCTCTAGCACACACTGCCTAGGTAAACCCCACTGTACTCCCCTCCCCACTGAGGCTGGTATCATGTCTCTTCCTGTCACCATGTTCCTAGCGTACAGCATACCTAGGCTCCCTCAAAATTCTCTCCTGAAGGAGAGTACCACACTATCACCATGTCCCCTTCTTTGTCTTCTTTTTAATGGTGGTGCTGGGGAATTGAATGCAGGGGCTTGTAAATGCAAGGGAAGAATTCTACCACTGAGCCACATCCCAAATCTATCATTTTGTTTGGTAACTCAAGTGTAAACTCCTTGGGGCTGACACTCCCATTAGCCCATAGTTTTCTGTCACTCACTACTCTTCATCAGAGGTTATAGATTTCTTTCTTTCTTTTTTTAGGTACTAGGGATTGAACTTACAACCTCACACTTGCCAGGCAGGCACTTATGCTGCTGAGCTAAATCCTTAGCCTTATTTTTAAAAATAGGTTTCTTTCTTTCTTTCTTTCTTTCTTTCTTTCTTTCTTTTCTCATCAAAGGTTAGCTCTTTGGTTGAGACTCTTTTGCTTATCATTTCCTGCTTAAGTCTTGGTAGGACAGAATAAACAATCCTAATGCAAACATCTAAACTCCAACCTGCTCCAAAGCCAGAAACCTTTGAGCACTGAGATAATGCACTGAGTGAAGAATTCCACACCTGACTTACATCAAAGGGACACAGTCAAAACACAGATGGACTAAAAATTATGTATAAAACTATCTCAAGACTATGTTCATGTGTATGAAGCATAAATGGATTCTATGTTTAGACTTGTGTCTCATTCCCAAGATATCACATTATATAAATACAAACATTCTAAAATTTTAAAGAGTCCTAAAACTAAGACATTTCTGGTCTTTTTTTTTGTCTTTTTGCTTTTTATCGGTACCAGGGATCGAACTCACGACTGCCTGCTTACAAGGCAGGCGCTTATGCCGCTGAGCTAAATCCCCAGCCCCACACATTTCTGGTCTTGAGCATCTATCACAAAATAAAAAAGTAAACCCAACATAGGGGTGTACACTTGTAATCTCAGCACTCTTGGAGACTAAGGCAGGAGGACTGAAAATTGTGGCCCAGCCTGGCCAATTGAGCACTTTGGCAGGACCCTGTCTCAAAATAAAAAGGTCTAGAAATGTAGCTTAGTGCTAAGATTCTAGGTTCAATTCCCAGTGGCACCAATAAAATAAAAAGGCTGTAAATATGTGGCTCAGTAGTAGAATGCCCCAGAGTTCAATGTCCAGTACGGGGGAAAAAAATCTTGCAGTACTAGGGATTAAACTCAAGGCTTTCCACTGAGCTACATCTCCAGCTCTTGTCCCATTTTTTTCCCTTCTTCCTCCTGATCCCTCTTTTCTTTTCTCTTTTTGGAGACAGAGTCTTTCTCAGTTTCCCAGACTAGGTTCAATCTTGCCTTCCTGACTCAGCATTCCAGAGTACTCAGATTACAGATGTGCACCACCATACCCTACCTAAAATGGTGAATTTCATGTTATGAGTGTTTTATAATTTTTAAAAAAGTATTTCACTGGAAATATATTTGAGTTACAGTGTGAAGTGTCAAAGATCAGTTGCAAAAGAGGATATATAACAAAAATTTCTTTTTAAATTTCTTAATATGTATATATGAAGCCATACATACCAAAAATAATGATGGTTGTTTCTGAAAAGTAGGATTATGGATATTTTACACTTCAATATTATATTTCTGTAATATTGAATTTTAAGGAGCTTCTCTGGTAGGAAGGCAATGCTAGAGACCAAGTCCAGGACTCACTGAGCTACATCCTCAGCCCTAAAGGGTTTTGGTGAGTTTTTTGGTACTAGAGATTGAACTCACAACCTCATGCTTGCCCAGGCAAGTGCTATGCTGCTGAGCCATATCCCGGGCACCCTAAAGTTTTAAATAGTTCACCTATTACCTTTGTAGGAATAAAAATTTCCTTGAACTCTTAACTTTCACTATCAATACATCTTTGGATGCTTTCATAGCAACAGAAATAATTTTTAAATGATCCATGCAGATGAAAAAAGTCTACTTTAAACTTTCTCCAAGAAAAAATAATATTAGTAAATTTTAGAGAAAATGTATGCTTTATACTTACTAATTTCATTTAGCCCCATATGTAAAAGGTATACACCTTTATATATACAGTATATGGTACATGTCTGTAATCCCAGAACCCCTCAGGAGACTGACGCAGGAAGAGCACCACGAGTTCGAGGCCAGCCTAGGCTGCAGAGTGAGCTCAGAGCCAGCCTGGACTACATAGTGAGATCAGATATAACAAACAAACAAACAAACAACTTCCAAAAAAGAATCAGAAAAGGGTTTTTAGAATTTAGTTTAATTCTGATAAACTAATAATGAAGGACATGCAATTTGTTCTTGTCTTTGGAAAGAAAAAGATGATGGAAATTTAAGAAGAGTCAGAGCCATTCCCTTCATTTTATAGATAAGAGAAGCTAAAAAAATAAATCAAGAAATTTACTTTTAGAGTCGTAGTTAAAGCCAAGAGTTGTGGTACACAGCTGTAACCCTAGCATTCCAGAAGGCTGAGGCAAGAGGATTACAAGTTTGAGTTCAGCCTGGGCAATTTAGTGACTTATGGAGACTGACTCAAAAAAAAATCTCAGTCCACAGGCCACAGTTCAAGCCCCCAATACCAATAATAAAAAAGACCTATAGTTAAAGAGTTACAGAATTAACATGAGAACTTTCCCTCTTCATTGTCATTTGGGTGCGCTTCCTCTATAAGTTATTCTATTTTTCACTTATATCTGTTACAAAATAATTACGAGTAGTCTTACCCTAATTAATCAGAACCCTTATTATTAAACCCTCTGGATTCTCAATTGTTTATATTTACAATGTATTTGGGTTTGAATAGTTGTACAATCTTCCTTTAAAATGAACAGCGTTCTAAAATTCTAGTCAGAACTGAGAGTATAGCTCAGTAATAGAAACCTGTAGCCTGTGCAAGGTTTTATGTTCAATTCCTAGCCCTGAGAAATTGTTCTTGTTGTTTTTTTCCTTCTTCTTCTTCACAAGCTAGGTAAGCATTTTACCACTGTGCTACATCCATAGCCCTAAATATAACTTTTGATGCTATTTGATTTTCAGTAGGTATTTTTACAGCCAATTTTAAAATTATAGTCAATTACATTTTAGAACAATATAATTATATAATTACATATTTTGAAAAGCTCTGCACATAGTTTTCAAATTTGGAAAATTCAAGACTGATTTAATACTATTATTTGAGATCTAATCCATTTTCAAATTTGCCCCTAAATTTACCTTTATATCAATTTATTACACTCAGCATTAATTGTCACTTGAGAGGCTGAGTCAGGAGAATCGCAAGTTCAGGCCTAGCCTGGGAGACTTAGCAAGAGCCTATCTCAAAATAAAAGTTTAAAAAAGGGCTAGGGATGTAGCTCAGTGCTTCCTGGGATGAACCTTTAGTACTATTAATTTTTTCTGTTCTATTCTATTCTATTCATACAAAAACATTGCTCATTTTGTGGAAAAAAACCCAAAATGACTATTCTACCATAAAGAATATAGTTGGTTGGTCACCATCATAAGCTGCTGGCTATAACCCTGGCCTCTATTTTATTAATTTTTGTTCAATTTAAAGTGTCCTAGTACTTCAAAAAAAGAATTAATTAAGTATCAATAAAATATTTGAATTAAAAAGCCAGGGCTGGGGTTGTAGCTCAGTTGTAGAACACTTAGCATGGGCAAGGCCCTGGGTTTGATCCCCAGCACCAAGAAAAACATTAAAACAAGTCAGTTATTCCATTTCTATCTGAATAGTAACATAGATTGGTTAAGTTTGATTCTGAGTGACTGTGGGACTTTTTGCTTCTTAGAAATACTGGTAAGTAATGTGGCAGACACTGACATCTGCCTTTTGCTTAGAAACAAAATGTTGAAAAATGAAGCTGACACCTGTATTCTTCTGAAGGACCCTTAGAATAGCATCATTCAGTTGTTAGTAAGTACATTAAATTAAGCCACAAACAACCATCATGCTAGAGGGGCCAGAGAAGATGGAATAACCAAATGCAATGTGGTAGACAGACTGGCTTTTAGATCAAAATGAAGACACTAAAGGAAAATCTGGTAAAACTGAAATAAAGTCTAGAGTCCAGTTAATGGAGATGGACCACATTGGTCTCTTAGTTTTGACAAATCAGCTATGGTAATGTAAGATGCTAGTGATGGGAACTCTGTAATACTCGTGAAACCTTCCTGTATATCTAGAATTATTCCAAAATTAACAAGTTTTTTTTTTTCTTGTACTGGGAATTGAATTTAGGACTTTGCACTTACCGGACAGGTGCTGCGCTACTGAGCTATATCCCCAACCCAAAAAATAGGCATTTAATGAATCAAATCTTTTCACTTGGTACTTACCCTGCATGTGGTTGTCTCTTACACTTGGTTATGCAGACATAATACAAACACAGTCCAAGGGTAACCAAAAGTGTTCCTCCAGCAATTATTCCAATCAGAATGTGAATAACATCAATTTTCTCTCTTCTGCTATCTTAAGAGAAATCATTTTAATAGTGTAAATACAATAATTGAAAAAGCATCATCTATCCTTTCAACAAATTTAGCATTATTAAGCATCTAATCACTGATGCTTTTGTTGTTGCTTTGGCATTAGTGGGACTGAATTGACAACCTTTATACAGAGCTACCTTCCCAGGCTCCCAAGGTGTGTGCTACTATACCTGGCTATTAATTTTTTTATTTACTTGAAATAGGTTATATTAAATAGGTGATATTCAAGATTGGATGCAATAAACATATTTTTTGCCTAGTTGATACCTGGGTATACTAGGTTATATTTAGTAGCCATGCATGGTAGCAGCACTCTGGGGGGTGACAGGACTGAAAATTTGAACTAACCCAGGTAATGTAGTAATTTAGTGAGACACTGTCTTGAATTAAAAAATTTAAAAAGTGCTCAGAGCCAAGCGTGGTTGTGTACGCCTATAATCCCAACACTTGGGAGGCTACCCTGGGCTATATAGAGAGCTCAAGACCAGTTTTAATTATACAGTGAGACCCTGTCTCCAAACTTCACCTGCCACAAAAAAGGGCCGGGAACATAGCTCTGTGCAAAGGCCGTAGATTCAGTTCCCAGTACTATAGGACAAACAAACAAAAAACAGTAAGCAACATGGTGTTACTGCTCAATAGAAGTTTATAGGGTCCTATACGGGGGGCTGCCTGAAGAGGTATGAAAGTTATGGTGAAAAAAAACTGACTAAAAAGCAGCTAGATGGGTAAGGGGGAAAGACGGGTAAGAAAGCTTGATTAACAGGTATAAATTCCAGCTATATAGGAAGAATAATCTCATCTTTATTTATTTTTCTTTTTTTCTTTTGAGGCAGGCTTTTGTTCTGTAGTTCAAGCTGTTCTTGTACTCAGTATACAGGAAGACAGGCTTGCGTCACCACATCTGGCTCAGAGAAATAATTTTTGTGTACTATAGTGGAACAGGGTGATTACAGTTAATAATTTATTGCATATTTCAAAAGAGCTAGCGGAGATCATTTTTTTGTGGTGTAGGAGAATGAATCCCAGGGAGCACTGAACTATAAGCCCAACCCTTTTTGGTTTTGATTTTGACAGAAGGTCTCGCTAAATTGCTGGGGCTGATGCTGAACTTTCTATCTCTTGGCTCAGCCTCTCAAGTAGCTGGGCTTACAGGTGTGTGCCATTGTGCCTGGCTAGAAGAGAATTTTGTGTGTTCTTCCTGCAAAAAAATGATAAATATTGGAGGTGATAGATACGATAGCTACCTTGATTTTTTTTTTTTGGTACCAGAAATCAAACTCGCTACCAGTTTACTGGACATTGCATATATGTATTAAAATATCACCTCATATCCCATAAATGTGCAATTTTTAGATGATAATTAAAAATTTTTAAAAAATCTAAAAAGCACCTGGGGTGACCAATAAGACAAGATTAAGGATTTTCCTTCTCTAGAAGTTACTTAATTAGAATCAAAAGTCTTTTTTCATTTTTTTCTTGTGGTAATGGGAACTAACCCAGGACTTTGCACATGCTAAGCACTTTTTTCCCCACTGAGTTACACCCCTAACTCTACCTGCCAGTCTTAATTTACCTAGAATAAGTATTCCCACTCACTTGTAATAGTAAAAAGAATAAAAAGCTTAGTTTATGACTTGAAACTAAGAGTCCTACTTTTACTCTGAACAAGTCTTGACTTAGCCAAGCTATTAAAAACAGCTTTAAGCCTATTATCTCATTTCTCTAATATCTCACTGAACTTGATTTTCAGTGTGTAAATAGGTAAACGTAATTTTCCCCGTCTCAGCTTACCGTATAATTGAGAAATCTTTGAACTTATGAGGTATGAACAATAACCAAACTCAAACAATAAAACTAAAATGTATTACAATAAAAAATGTATTACAATAGAGAATGAAAAAAACATTAAATTTTATCAGTTTCTTGCCTTACCTGATTTTGGGGTTGGTCCTTTAACTGAATATTCCTTCCAAAATTCCATCTATAAAAAATGTAAAATGTCTAAGTTTATGTAAAATGGCTAGGTTTTGTTACTATTTCACTTGTTTTCATTGACAAATTTTCAGCAAATTCTTGGCATGAGCCGCAGAGAGGATACCAATTCCTTTAAACCCAAAGGCATGGCTCACTCTAAAGCACTACTATCCACTGCTGCCAGCCGCTGTTTGCAGCCTGGTTAAGGGATTGCTGCCAGCCCCAGGTCTCTACACCTGTACCCTGCTATGTTCCCTTCACCTGCCTGGAACCCCCGTGAAGGCAGCAGAAAGCCCATGCATTTGAGGGATGGCAGAAATTCCAAAGGTGGAGGGTGTGGCTGCGAACCCATTACCAGGTTTGAAAAAGAGTCTGAATTTTTCTATGCTAGGGGCCCCATGGGTTGCTAGATTTTACTGCAAGGTATTTATTCCTTTGGAAAGACATCTCTGAGAGTTTAAATTCAATGATACTTCAAAGAACAGAAGCAGAGTTTGAGGAACTGTTATAAAATGAGAAAATGGATTTGTGAGAAACCCTAAAACCCTGACAGACACAATTGCGAAGTATATTCTTTATTTTTTCCCCCTCTTGCCCTCCCTCCCTCCTTCCCGTCCTTTATTCCCTCCTTCCTTTCTTTCTCTCTTCCTCCCTTCATTTGTTCATTCTTTGACACAGGGTCTTGCTATGTAATTTAAACTGGCCTCAAACTCTCCATCTTCCTGCCTCAGTTTCTAGAGTGCTGGGATTATAGGTGTGCACCCTGCCCAGCTGTTTCTCTACTTTAGTAGATGTGGCAACTACTTGTAAGAAATAGGCCAGGCACAATTATGGAAGAACAAAGAAGTAGGTTCCACTGCTACCTGCATTTGAAGCATGCTTGGAAAGGTCTTTATTGAGCAAAAAGTAAAATATGATGCTTGAAAAGGGGGAAAAGGAGCTGGGACTATTTCATTTATAAAAGTAAAGAATTTGGATCACTTAATTGTCCTCAATAATATGCCAGATTTGACAGGCATAGTGTTACCTGTCTGTTTTGTATGTCATCAAGATTAACAAGCAGGATTTAATTATTTTGAGACATGGTTTCCCTAAATCCCTAAATTACTCAAACTGAGCTCAAATTTGGAATCCTTCTGCCTCATCCTCCAGATGAGGATGAGGATGAGGATGTCTCAACACTCCCAGAGTGTTGAGACAACAGGGATTTACCATCACAACCAGCTTGGGGCAGATTACATATTTTATATCCTTAATTTTTAGCAAAGCATCTGCTGCATTGTCAATAAGTACTTGAAACAGAAATATTAGCAATCAAAAAAAGGTAAGATTACTGATAGAAGAGATTACTTGGATTTGTAAATAATTGAAGCTTGAGTCAGAGCACTAATTCAGATTATAGCCTCCCACACACATACACTTTGGGTTCTAGGGATTGACCTAGGGCTTTGCACATGCTAGGTAACTCTCCACCTCTGAGTACATTCTTAGTCCTACATAATATCTTGAAGTTTAATTTGCTCTGCTCTGAAATTATTTTCGACTATAATAAACAACACAATATAAAATCACAGCATGGCTCATAATTTGATAATTAAGGTAAGCCTAGCTAATTAAGGATAAAGCTAAGTCTAAATAGGTATATTAGCATTTTAAGGTGGTAGAAAGAGATAAAAGTATACAGCCTTGATTTTGTTTACAGCATAAAATCTGTCATCAATGAACATGTCACTTGCTTAAGTATAATTTAATGAGTTTCCTGTTGACTAACACAATCAAGTAAATTACCGTTTTATGTTCATCCAGGAAGATCTCTCTGGCTTCCTCATAACTGCAAAACTCTTCCATGCATTCTCTTTCTAGGTTACTGGGAAGGAAAAGCTCCAAATCAAATCTATTGTACAGGAGGCGACGATGTATGAAAAAGTTTGCTTCTTCCTTTGATGCAAAGACTAATAAAGAAATAAAAAAATTCAAATACTGATAGACATAAAGCATAAAGTTCCTGTTTTAATTATAGAACAAGTGAGTAGTTCTCTTTTTTTTTTTTCTTTGCCTTTTTCCTTTTTATCAGTACCAGGGATTGAACTCACGACTGCCTGCTTACAAGGCAGGTACTTATGCCGCTGAGCTAAATTCCCAGGCCCTAGTGTGGATTTTTTTTTTTTTTTTGAGTAGTTCTCTTGATATGGTTAAATAATACCAAACTTTCTTGTATGACTATATTGTTTTTACTTACTTATGTATTTATTTGTTTTTAAATCTAGTTGACTCAAAGGCAAGGACTGGTTTATGATCATGATCAATTTCCTTATCTGTAAAATACAGGAATGGGATTGGATTGCCTGTTGGGTCTCTTTTCACTCCCAAATTAAACAAAACAAAACAAAAACCAAACACTGAGTTTTCTTTTTCTTTGTCTTTTTTTGTACTAGGAATTGAAGTCAGGATTTTATGCTTGGCAGGCAGGTGTTGTGCCACTGAGCTATATCTCTGTTCCAAAACACTGAGTTTTATATGTATTCCATTGTTAATCCTATAATTTTGAAGGATTAAAGGGAAAACAAAAATTTGTTATTTTCCATTTAAAAGAGAAGATAAGTGTAAATTAAAGGTCACTTTTATATTTATTTAAATACTATATGCTATTTCTCATTTGAGTGAGAATTTATTGTATTTAATTTATGATTTTAGTAACTAAATTGGATCATTTGTCATCATGCTAAAAACACGATTCCTTGGTTTTTTTTTTGGTTAGCGGGGATTGAACTCATGACCTCATGCTTGCCAGACTGGTACTTATGCCACTGAACTAAATCCTCAGCCCTAAAAATATGATTCTTGTAACTACATGTAGCATACAAAAATATAAAATAATTATAGAATCAGCAGTTCAAAGAAAGATTTCATTTAAATGTCATAAAGTGTCTGCCACTGAGTAAATGGGAAGTCTGATATTTGTAAGTAATCTTTGTGATTGGAATCTTTTATTATTATTATTTTGCTTTTTTCCTGGTACTGGGGATGGAACTCACAACCTCACACTTGCCAGGCAGGTGTTTATGCTGCTGAGCTAAATCCCCAGCCCTGGAAAAAAAAAAAATCCCCAGCCCCATGATTGGAATCTTAGCACCTCCCAAATTTAAATATTGTGAAACCTTTTCCAATAACAATTAGGTAATTACATTGGCATCCATCCTGATTTTGATGGTGTGCTGTTTTATGTTTCTTGGGAAATAAAATCTTAGTGTCCAGATAATGATTTAAAATTGATAATTAAAAGTTTAAAATACACTTTCTTTTAGGGCCCAATTCTTCCTGATTGCATGAGTGATTTGATTAAAATCTTTAGGATCTACAACTTCAATAATGAATCAAGCAGATAACAGGCAAAAAACAAATATATATATATTTTTTGTCTTTTTCATTTTTATCGGTACCAGGGATCAAACTCACAACCGCCTGCTTGCAAAGCAGGTGCTTATGCTGCTGAGCTAAATCCCCAGCCCCTAAAACAAATATTTTTTTACAGTACTCGAGATAAAGTTCAGTGAAAGATAGACATGTACTGTAAATTATTATAACAGTAAAATCAGGCATGTATATGTGTATGTCTGAGTTATTTCTGACTACAATCTATTAATCCATCCATCTACATAAAAATATCTGTATAGTACTTACTACTTGTCAAGCCATTTTTTTTACTATTACATGTTTGTGACACATAATGATTACATTCATTGAGGGTTGTTAGTACATGAACATAACACACCTTCTTCTTATACCTCTTTTTCTCTTTCCTCCTCTTCTCATCCTTTATTTCTTTGTTCCCTTCCCATCTGCACAAGATCTGTCTCCTAGTTTCCCTTGATCTATCTTTGATTTGTTCTTTAATTCATGTATAAATTGAGTTTCTCATGTAAAAGAAACTATACGATATTTAAGTTTTGTATGACTTTAAAATCTGACCCAAGGAAATAGCATGAGCAGGGAATGGTGGTACACACCTGTAATCCCAGCTACTTGTGAGGCTTGAAAGTTCCAGGACAGTCTAAGCAACTCAGCAACACATAGGCTCAAATAAAAATAAAAGGCAGAGGACATGGCTTACTAGTAGAGTGCTTGTCTAGGATGCTCGGGTTTGATCCCTAGCACTGGAAAAAAATCTCATCATGACAATATTTCAACACCTACAAACCTTAAACTTGTTCTTAAACAAAGTTTAAGTGATTATGCTAAGATCATAGGCTGAGACTGGAATTCAGAAAACTTCTGACACCTACATCAAAGTGATTAAAAGAATTTAAAAGTGATGACTCTTCTCACTACTAACCATTACCACAGGCAGACTATATTAAAGTGAACAATTATAAGACTGTTCCCCAGAAAGCATTTTTTTGAAAACTAATGCTGGTTTGTGAGTGATCTTGGGTTGGCTTAGTCTTTTGAGAGCAGTCATATCTTGTTCAAGATGTTTTTCCTACAAATTATCTTTTCAAACAGGTTTGAATCTTCTAGAGCTGTTTCATCCGATACAGTAGCCACTGAACACATATAGTTACTAAGCCCTTGAAAGGTGGCCAGTCTGAATTGAGATGTACTAAAAATACCAAATACACACAAAATTTCAAGGATTTAGTGTGGAGGGAGAAAAAAGGAGGCGATATATCTCAATAAAGTTTTATGCTGTTATTCTTTGAGACAATGATATTTTGCATATTTGGTTAAATTAAGTATATTATTAAAATTAATTTATCTATTTGTTTTTAAAACAAGTGCATTAGAAAAATTTAAATTATTTTTGTGGCTCACATTGTATGTTTTTTTGCTTTGTACTATTCTAGAGTGTTAATTTCTATGTTATAAATAACATATATGGCTATTGGAACCAAGGGGAAGCTAGGATGAAATAATTGATGATAGTTATTTTATATTAAAAAGTGGAAGCTGGGTGTCATAGTGTATGCCTGTAATTCTACCACTTGGGAGGCTGAGGCAGGAGGATTGGCATGAGTTTGAGGTCATCCTGGGCTAAACATGAATTCAAGGCCATCCTGACCTACACAGTGAGACTGTATCAAAACACCGGGAAAAAAAAGAGAGCTAAAAAGTGGAAGACAGGCCAGTATGATTAAATACTTCTGTTCTTTCCCCTCAATTTGCCTTTCTGTACATTTTATGCTGCCCCCATGTGGAGAAAGAATGAAAAATTTCCATCTTCCTTTATGGGGTTTCCAAGGCATTCCAATTGGTGTCTTTGTTCTACTATAATCTGTTGTCAATACAACAGCCAGAAATCTTTTTAAAAGCTAAGTCAGATTTTGTTCTTGTTGTATGTGTGTGTGTGTGTGTATGTGTAGACTGAACTCAGGGTTCTCACACTGAACTACACCCCTAGCCTATTTTTATTTTTAAATTTTAAAACAGAGTGTCACTGACTTGCCTGGGCTGGGCTCAAACCGGCAATTCTCCTGTTTCAGCCTCCCAGAGGGCTGGGATTATAAACGTGTAAAAACGATCAGCCCAGTCTTTATTTAAGACAAAGAGTCTTGCTATACTCCCCAGGCTAACCTCAAATTTGTGGCCCATCTGCCTTAGTCACCACATCTGGCTGCTTTTTAAACCTCCTAATATCAGTTCTATCATCCACAGAATAAAAACTGGATTTCTTACAATGGCCTTGGGCCCTATACAATCTGGCTGCAAGCCTTCCTCCTCTGAGCTCATCTCTTACCTGTTATGTATTCTGTTGAAGCTATGCCATGTTGGCTTTCAGCATACTTGCTTCTCCACTGCCTTTGTATTTCCTGTTTCCTTTGAATACAACTTTCTGTTTGTCTCAAACCTCCTTCAGGATTCTGTTCAATGTTACCTCAAACTCTGGTTTCTACCTACCCATCTCAGGTGCTCCTAGTTTATGTTCTACTTATCTCCACAGCATCAGTATCACCTGGGGATAGATCTGCCTTAGTTCTCTATTACCACTGTTGCCCTCAGTCTGGCCACCAAAGAGGTTCTCAAAACATCACTGAATGTAAAAAACCTCAGCTTTCCTAATGTGGGAAGATATTCTTTTTTTTTTTTTTTTTTTTTTTTTTTAAGCCAGTCAAGGGAAGATATTCTTAGCCCTAAAATTCAACCAGTCAAAGCAATTCATACGTATAATCTGGTGTTACTCAATTTGGCATAGGTTTAAAGTATTATGAAGCAATACTCACTCACAGTCACTGCATAAAATCTAATTTCAGAATAGAGAATAAGAAATCTACTGCGGTGGTGCTAGTTTTTAGATCTTTACTTTGATCGGCTAAAAGAGCAGTGCCAAATTTCTCATGTCCAAGCAAGTATCTGACTTAGAACTCCTTTCGGGACTCAATAAAGCAGTGTGGTTTTTGTTTGTCTTTTTGCAACAAGATTTTGCTGCATACCTTAGGATGGCCCTGAACTTGCAATTCTGCCTCACACTCCCGAGTGCTGGGATACAGCTGTGTGCCCCCACAGTTGGCCTCATGCTGAAGCTAACTTTGACTTGAATGGAAAATAAACAAGTGAGCCATAAACATTTTAATGTTTTGAAATGATATTTGTGCAAGAGCATACATGATATTTATGATTAATCATAGTATTGTGATTGAAACTATATTAAATGATCCTGCCAGGAGTTGCTGTGTGATGCTTTCCTGAGAGTCAAAGCACTGACTCCATCAGTGGCTAATTTTACTTAACCTTCATTACTAGGTCATTCCCTGCATCCCTTACAATCTCTGGAGAAATACTGTCCTTTGTCTTGAGTCTAAGTAGCCCTGATTTTATTTCTAATTGGAAAAGAGTAAACTTCCTTGCCCCTGGAAAGCCCTTGGTTCTCAGTGAGAGATCCGGTTTTCCTCCCGACTATGGCTGGAGGATTGACCTTTGCATCTGCTTTTGTAAAATTCTCTTCCCGTCTATGTTTTTCTTGTTTTAGATTATCCTATGAGGTTGTCTGTGCATCCCACTGTTACAAATCCATCAACCTAAATATTCTATTCTCTTCCTCTCTTCTATCGCCCCATGTTTTCTAAATAAGCTCTTTTGTAAGTCATTTCAGCTCTACCCTACAACTTTATGAAAATTTAGCTGAAGTTCTTCTCCTTCTTCAGTTACAGATGTACTCCCTAACCCAACAGCCTCACTTTCTCCACATTTGGTTATCTGAGGTCAATTATAATCTGAAAACATTAAATGGAAAATTTCAGATATGAACCAGTTATAAGTTTTAAATTGTATGTAATTCTGAGTAGCAGGGTGAAATCTTTCACTTCTTGCTCAGTTTTGCCCAGAATGTCAACCACCCTTTGTCTAGAGTACCCTTTGTCCACAGTATATACTACCAGCTCATTAGTCACTTAGTAGCAATCTTGGTTATCAGATCAGCTTAATGGTACTCGGTGCTTACATACAGGATTCATTCAGTACTATGTGAAGTTTTAGGGGGGCCACTGGGAGTTCTGGAATGAATCCTCTGCAGATGAGGGGAAGACTGTCTCCATTTCTTATGTCCCATTTGCAGAGGGAAAGCACTGGTAGTGTGTCATACAACTCTCCTGGGCCAGGGTTATGCTACTCACTCTTTTCTGCTCTAGGGTTCTCTGTTTCTACCTCTGTTACAGAATTTATGGAGTCTGTATGTGTACCCCTGACCTCCCACCAGATGCAGAGGTCTTCCAGGACAGGAGTTATGTTCTTTCATTTTTACATCACCAAGTAAGCCACAAATTAAACTAAATGCAATTTTGTGCCCCTACAGGATATAATTTCTGCTTGAGATCTCTAATAGGTGGTTCTGGTTTCCAGGAGGACTTTCTCCAGCAGTTAGCACAGGGTGTGGCACACAGTATATGTTCATAATGTAGTTACTGATGGAACAAATTGGCTTTCAAGTGTGTTGGACCTCTCATCCTCATATCCTGCAGACAACTGTAGCTCTCTGCACTCAGGTATGGTTTCTAAATCCCTTCCACAGTGTATGATGTTCTTGAGAGTAATTTTTAAGTTTGTGGCATGTGAATGAATGAACACACATTCTGAGGAGTCACATCAAGTCCTACTAAGAATGGATCATTCACCTTATATATATATGGTTTACATATTTGGTGTGATTTGGGAGGTCCAACTGCCTAGGATTTTGGTACTGGAGTTTGCTTTCTTTCTTTCTTTCTTTCTTTCTTTTTTTTTTTTTTACTTTTTGGGACAGGGTCTTCACTATGCAGTTCAGGCTGGTCTTGAGCTTACTTTGTAACCCAAGCTGGTTTTGAACTTGCAACAATCCTCCTGCCTCAGCCTCCTGAGTGCTGAGATTACAGGAGTGCACCACCATGCCTCGTTGGAGTTTACTTTCTTAAACTTACGGTACTGTCCTAAGACACACACACATAGACACATATACACACACAATCAATAAACTATATTAATCCTTAATAAGTCAGACATACTAGTGTAAAAAATCCTTCTCAAATGAAAATGACCTGACAGAAGGATCTGATGAGAAGGGATAAAGGAAACGCCTGTATGACACTGGAGTGGGGGAGGACAATGATTAGACAGGGAGAAGAATGCTTAGGGCCAAAAGCACTTTTCCTTTTTCTTTTTTTCTGGCTTTTCCAGGCAAGGCTTTTAAAATATAGGTAAAAAAACAAAAACAAAAACAAAAACAAAACAAAAAACAAAAAACAAAACAAAACTAACCTGTTTATGATCTAGAACCTAAATGGCATAGATTTCTAAGTAAGTCACAAACCATCTCTCAACCATCTGCCTTTTCTAGACAAGTAAACTTAACAAAGTCAGAAAGGACCTGAGATATGGTTCTGCATCTATCCCCGGTCACTTTACAGATGAAACTGATCAAGCCCAAAGGGGTCAAGTATTTTGCCCAGAGTCTCACAAGAAGGTCATACTTGGCACTCAGGGTGGCAGAGTGTAGCTCAGAGGTAGAAAGCGTGCCTAGCATGCCTAAAGCCCTCCGTTCCAACTCGACCAGTGCCAAAAAAACAAAAGAAAACAAGTCCAGGCTAGAACAGGACGCCCTGTCCATCCTTCCACAAACAACAAGCAATTGTGTGATTAACACAGCTTCATCTACAAAAAGTCACTCATTTTCAGACAATGAAACCGGATCTCAAGCATACATTTTACCAAAGGAGACTCGCAGAGATAAATTCATACGCATTTTAAAGAACACAAAAGTCCAACACATTACCAAATAAACCACAAATTAAAGTAAACGCTCGTTTAGTGCTTCTGTGTTCGAGGAGGCATACAATTTCCACTTGAAAACTCTTGATAGGCGGCTCGGGTTTCCAGGAGGGCTTTCTCGGAAACACGGTCCCTCTTACCTTCTTCTGGGGCATGCCTGGAGTCCTTTGCAGCTCTTGTGTAACGAGGAAGCGCTAAGGTAACTATGGGCAGTTGGCTGAACAGAATCAGAAGTGTAACCATAGTCTGGCAGCTGTCAGACAAACTAAAACAAAGAAAAAGCACACATCAAAAATGTCCCTGGCTCAGTCGTTTTAAGTTTCGGTGGAAACTGAGTCATCCGCCCTGTTGTACCCAAAACCACCGCGCGAATGCGCCCCACGCGCGGTTTCGGTCGCCAGGGCCTGGTGCGCGCCGGGACAGTGGCCCCCAAGAGCGCCTGGGGACGCCCGGCGCGCCGGTGCCTCCAGATTCGGAAGAGCGCGGATCCCACAGTTAGGGCTTTGTGTTGGGGTCGGGTCCCGCCCGGGTCCCGCACCTGTATCTCCCGGCACATGTTCCTCAGTCCCGGGGCCGGAGTTCTGTTGCTTGGAGTTGCAAGTCTCAGAGACCAGCCGGCCGCGCTCTCTCCGGCCCTGCGCGCAGAGGGGGCGCCAAAACCCTCAGAGCGGCGCCCGGGGAATGCGTGTGCTCCTGCCCGCGCCCCAAGAGGCTGACGCCGGGAGTGGGGCGAAGGACGAGGCTGCCGTGGGACACCTGGCGGCGCTCCGCCTCCGGGGCCGGCTCGCCTACGGCGGGCGGGCCTCTGTCTGCATCTCTTGGCTTCTGTCCCAAGCCCTGGGTGAGCCGATCGCCGGTCACCAGCTGTGCCTCCTCCGCCTTGGTGACTCGGCTGACTGGTGTGGGACTCGTTTCTAGAGCCTGTGTTTCTCTGCATCCAGTGCTCAGGGTTGAGCCGAACGCCAGCCCTGTGCTCCAGCGTTTTCTTTTTGAGTTGCAGCAAGCTAGGGATTACCTTAGGTCAATTATCCTCAGAGTTGTCCAGAAATGAGAATAAAATATACATCAGAGAAGATAACGCTTTGTTAGTAATAGGAAATAAGAACTGACCTGAGAGCAAATTGCTTGGATTAATTCCCAAATGGGTGTTCACTAGGTCCGACGGGTGTCTCCAAAGTCTTTTCAAGGGATCTCTGAGCTCAAAACTATTTCCAGGCCCGGTGAGGCGTGGTCACTTGTAATCTCAACTGGTTGAGACAAGAGGTTTGTCCGGAGCTTGAGGTCAGCCGGGGCTACACGCTGAGTTCAAGGTGAGGGTGAGATAAGTAATGAGACTGGAGAGAGAGAGAGAGAGAGAGAGAGAGAGAGAGAGAGAGAGAGAGAGAGAGAGAGAGAGAGAGAGAGAATGAGAATGATAGTTTGACCTTTCCCCTTTTGTTCTGAGAGCTAGTTGACCTATAAGGAACGTCGTCACTTTGAGTAATAAAATACCTGAGAATGCATGCTTATGTTTTCTAGCATTTCTATAGTTGTAGGTTTAAAGTGTCAATATGTACGTTTTATATACAGATTCATATGGATTGACAAATCTACTTTTCTGCTTGTTCTCTTATTACTTCTGTACTTTTTTTTTTTTTTTTTAAGAAATCTTTGGTCATATCTACCTGGATAGTTACTACTCTACTATTCTTAGAGAAATAATTATCTCGAACTCCTGAGCTGCTCATTGTTTGATAATGGAGACAACCAAATAAAATAAGTACATGTTGCTATCTTGATTTGAAATGTTTTAGATATTTCTTTTTCTCTTTCTTTCTTTCTCTCACTCTTTCTTTCTTTCTCTTTTGAGACAGGGTCTTGCTATGTAGTCCAGGCTGGCTTTGAACTCATAGCTATTGTGCTACCTCAACCTCCTGAGTGCTGGGGTTATGGGCATGTGCCACCACACCTGGCTATTTTAGTTTTTGATTAATTGAATTTTCTCCAAATTGTTTTCTTCTCCCCACAAGGCCTTTGTCTGTTTTATTCTTATTATTGAGAGTCAATATTACTGAATAGTTCCTTAGTTTTCCGCAGAAATTTTGTTTTTGCAGATTTCTTCTAGCAAGTGCTTTCTCTCTCCCCTTCTCCCCATCTCTTCCTGTTCACTATTTGTCTAAATAATAAACTTGTGCTCTAACCTATTCTGATGATGGAGTCTTCTCTGGCTCTTATGTAAGCAATTAAGATCAGACTAGAAAGAGGCTAGAAATGATTCTCCCAAGTTGAACACAAAATAGGAAAGAAAGGCTGTCATTTTTCTTCTGAGTATTCTGAGGCCCAAGGCCCTGAGCATAGGGAGATAAACATCACAGCCTCCATTCTAGAGAACTGGGTCTGGCTGAGATCCATATCTAGGAATGTGGTCCTGTGAAATTCTCAGGGGCAAAAACTGACTAATTTATTCTTTTATGCTCCCTGCAATACTGAGCAGGGTGTCATTTATACTGTTTATGCTCAATACATTTCAGTAGGTGGAAGCAATCTATTTTCAGGTAGGAAAACTGTTTCATGCTAATTAGAGGCATCAGGCAAAGGGTCAAATGCCTCACACTATGAAATCAGCAGATGTGAATTTTGATGAAATTCTTTGGTGGAATGAGTCCACCCACATATCTGGATATTTGGACCAAAACAAGTGAAGCTTTGTGCTCACATCAATATCAGAATTTACAGACTATGAGGGGAGGCAGATAGAGAAGTAAAAGTGTTTCTCGGTGGTGAATTCCATCCCTGCATGTTTCCCTGTAATATGGGTCCTAACGAATATTATAGCATTTGCCATGATACACACAAACTTTAACCATTATGCAACTGCAAGATATTTGGGGCTAGCTGGCAAAAAGAGAAAAGAGAAAAGTCGATAATGATAATGTCTAAGACTTCCAATATTTTCTGTTGTTTTTGTGCTGCATTCATCTCTCTATTTTGTACAATAATATTTGCTTTTAAAGGTTACAGGTTTTTTGGGCCTTTTTCCTGAAGCATTTTAAATGCTTTCAGATAGTGTGCTTGTTATTCTGGTCAAATGTGGAGTTGGGAAGATATTATAATTCACACTTCACAAAGAGGTTTATTGAAGCATGAAGTAAGTGAGAAGCCACTGGCCAAGTCTTAACCTGGTTCTCAACCCTTTCAAATGCTTTCTTTGAGTTATTAACCAGCAGAGAGTATTAGGTAAATACTTTTTTTTTGTAGCAGGGATCAAACTTATGACTATCTTGTTTGAAAGGAAATGAGGAAAAAATCAGAGCAATAAGTCTAATAGACTTGGTTTACTATGGTAGAACATCTTTGAGTTTGAGTGCAGAGCTACTCATTCACCTGTGTGAATTCCAGAATGAATGGAGGTCAGGGATTTAGCTCAGTGGCATAAGTACCTGCCTTGCAAGCGTGTGGTCATGAGTTCGGTCCCTGATACCAAAAAAAAAAAAAAAAAAAAAAAAAAAAAAGGAAAAGGATTGACTCAGAGAGACTGAGCCAGGAAATGTCTAGCTGCAGCTATGAAGCCCCACAATGTAAGGTAACATCTACGTCCTTAAAGACATGTGAATGACAGTATCATAAAACTACTGAAGATAGGAAAGCAACCTTACCAAACTTAATGTTTTTGTGACATTTGATATTTCAACATCAATTATCTGCTGTGAGATCAGCAAGTAGAAAATAGGTTCCTATTCTTTAAGGTTAGTAATGTATCCATACATAGATATTTAAAATTCATCAAATAGAGTTTAAAGGCTTTTATCTTTTGTTGTTATTTTTATTTTTAAGAGAATAAAACCAAACAAAGTAAAACAGAGTAAAGCCAGTCCAAAAAAAAAAAAACAGTGAAAGTGACACAGGACTTCAAAATAACAGGAAATCAATAATGGCTACCACCAATGGCCTCTTGTTATCTTCAAAATAGATGCCCATCCCATCAGACCTCAAAAAATCAAATAAAACAGAATAAAATAGATCAAAACAAAACAATGTAATGATACAGGACTTTAAAACAAAATAACAGAGAATGAACAATGGCCACCACCTTGCCTTTTTAGCTTTTCCCTCCCCTTCAATTTCACAATACCTACTGTACATTTTGGATCCCACTAACTCCTTCAGTTTTTTATATGAGGGAGACAACATTATGTTTATCTATGTGAGTCTAAACCATTTCACCCAAAAGCATGATCACAAGTTGCATCCATTTACCTACAAGAGCCTCGTGGTTATCCTTGTTCATAGCTGAGTAGCGTTCTATTGTATAAAAATGCTGTATCTTTCTTATCCATTCTGCAGTTGATGGGCAAGCTACCCCTGTTTTTTTGTGGCTCCCTGTTACATGGAACATTGTTTTCTCTCTTTTGACTTTCAGTCTATGAATTTCTTTTTGAGTTAGTGTGGTTCTTGTGTACCACATATCGGTGGATCTTGTTTCTTGATCCAATCTACGTTTCTTTTTATTGGTGAATTGAGGCCATCTACATTAATGGTTATGACTAACATGCACTGGTTTGTCTCTTCCATGCTGTTTTTCCTACTTTTCCTCTCTGTTCAATTGTCTGCCCTGCTTAGTGGTCCCACTCTGCTATTGGGGCTGTGGTCATTTTTATCTCTCCAGAATATCCTTTAATATTCTTTGTAGGATTGGTTTGGTGGTCATGAATTCCTTCAGTTGTTCTTTTTCATGGAAGTATCTTATTTCTCCATTAATTCTGAAAGATAATTTGGTAGGGTACTTCAATCTGGGTTGGAGGTTTTTTCTTTTAGAGCTTGAAATGCTTCTCTCTAAGCTCTTCTCGACTTGATGGTTTGTGTTGAGAAGTCTGTGGTGATTCTGATGGGTTTTCTTTTTTGTCTTTTTGAGACAGGGTCTCTCTGTGCAGTTCAGGCTGGCCTTGAGCTCACTTTGTAGCCCAGGCTGGTCTCGAACTCACAATGATCCTGCCTCAGCCTCCTGAGTGCTTGGGATTACAAGTGTGAGCCACCACGCCTGGCTCCTGATGGATTTTCCTTTATAGGTGATGTTTCTTTTTTCTAATAGCCTTTTATATTCTGTTCTTGTGCTGAATTTCTGGGATCTTGATTATTATATGTCTGATATAGATTTATTTTGGTTATGGCTAGTTGGAGTCCTATATGCCTCACTTATCTGTATGTCAGTTTCTTTTCCCATGCTTGGGAAGTTCTCTGCTGCTACTTCTGTAATCTCTTTAAGTCATTTGTGTTGACTCTTGCTTTTTTGCTGACATGTATCATTCTTAAATTATTTTTCTTTTTGTCATCTTGCAGCCATGGGATTGTTATTTACTGGTTCCTTTTTTTTTTTTTTTTTTTGATACTGGCAATCAAACTCACAACCTTGCACTTGTCAGGCAGGCACTTACACTGCCAACCTAAATCCCCAGCTCTCTTCTTTGTTATTTTTAAGAGATCTATCCTTTCACAATCACTGGCTGCCATCCTGTCTTCAAGGTCTGAACATCTACCTTCAGTTTCTTTCAAGTGGTTTTGATAGCTTTCAATGGAGTTTTTAATTTCCTGGGATTCTCTTTGAGTCTGTTTCATGCATTCTAATTCTTTTCTATATTGTTTATTCAGGGTTTCCCTCATTCTCCTGTGCTCTTTTTTTTAAATCTATGTCTTCTTTAGATATGCTCAGCAGCCATTTTATTTATTTATTTATTTATTTATTTATTTGGGTCTTTTTCGTTTTTATTGGTACCAGGGATTGAACTCACGACTGCCTGCTTAAAGGCAGGCACTTATGCTGCTGAGCTAAATCCCCAGTCCCTAGCAGCCATTTTATTATGTTTGTAATTTCTTCTTTTACCTGAATTATTATTTTTGATCTGATTTCTTTTGCAGCTTCATGAAGTAGTTTCTTTACTTCAGTTGCCATCATCCTAGAAATTTCAATCATCGAACTTTCTTTTTTAAAAATTTTTTTGGTCCATACTGAGGACTGAACTCATGACCTTGCACTTGCCAAGCAGGCACTCACACTGCTGAGCTAAACCCCCAGCCCCTCCATCCTAGAAATTTCAGATGTGTGACTTCCACTTTCTTCCATGTCTAAGTCTCTTGGACTTGTTCTGTTTGGGCTGGAAGGCAGAGCTTGCCTTTTGCTCCTTCGTCTTGACATTTTCTTGAGTTCTGCTGGATGAGTGGGTTGTGGGTTCCAGGTGTTTCCCACATTGGCTACCTGTCCACAGTGTAGGGGGATGGGTCAGGCACCCTTGGGAGGTGAGGTGTGCAGGGCAGACTTCTCCAGACTCTCTG